GTGGCCTGGGTTCAGATCCCAGGCGCACACCGACGCACTGCTTTTCCGGCCATGCTGAGGCCGTGTTCCACATACAGCAACTAGAAGGATGTGCAACTATGACATACAACTATCTACTGGGGCTTTGGGGAAAAAAAGGAGAAGGACTGGCAATAGATGTTAGCTCAGAGCCGGTCTTCCTCAGCAAAGAGGAGGATTAGCATGGATGTTAGCTCAGGGCTGATCTTCCTCACACACACACAAAAAAGAATATATTTCCATATCACACAAGATATAGGGCAAAATCCCTTATCAAAAACTTCAAATATAAATTATTTTGCATTCTATAAATCTTTTATATATAATGCAGTTTTTCAGCTTTTTATAATTTTTCTCAGTCCACAAAAGAAACTGCTCAATTATTCATTTAGATTGTGTCTTCCCATACAATGTCTCTTCAGTAGACAGTGAGCTAGAGTTAAATTCCAACCATACCGGAGGTTAAAACTAAATCTCTCACTCTCTAGCAACCTGGGTTATGAAGTTGAAGTAATCTATAAGAATTCAAATGAAACCACAAGAATTTCAGAAAAGTGTCCTGTTTAATTTCTGTCAATTCTTTAAGATTTTCTACATAGACAATCATGTCATATGTGAACAAAGACAGTTTTGTGCCTTACTTCCCAATCAGTATACCTTTTATTTCCTTTTCTTATTGCATTAGCAAGGACTTCCAGTACAACGTTGAAAAGCAGTGGTGAGGGAGGACCTCCTTGCTTTGTACCTGATTGTAGTGGGAAAGCTTCAAGTTTCTCACCACTATGATGTTAGCTGTACGTTTTTTGTAGATAGTCTTTATCAAGTCGAGAAAGTTCCCCTCTATTCCTAGTTTACTGAGAGTTTTTATCATGAACGGGTGTTGGATTTTGTCAAATGCTTTTTCTGCATCTATTGATATGATCATGTGATTTTTCTTTTTTTAGTCTATTGATGTGATAGATTACATCAATTAATTTTCAAATGTTGAACCAGCCTTGCATACCTGGAATAAATCCCACTTGGTCATGGCATATAATTTTTTTATACTTTTTTTAGATTTTATTTGCTAATATTTTGTTGAGGAGGGTCCTGTTCAATTCTATCTTTAATTTGTGTCTGAATCTTTCAGGAGCACTGCATATATAAATCTTATAAACATACGGAGTATTCAACTATGAAAATACTTACAATTCTCCAGTTTCTTTTAATATAGTTCTTGAACGTTACTGAGGCACACACTTTGATAACATTATCCTGGGACTTCTCCAGTAATGTTAAAAGCAACAGCGGGTAATTCTGATTTCCTTCTACAGATTCAAGAAACTTCTCAGCTGTAAAAGAATTTCCATATTAGAAGATTTGTGATTATAACCAATCTTTCCACTTTACGTATATGTGAACAATGTATATCTCTGATTGAAGCATCAAAAAATTGAAAGATTAGAATATTTCCCCTTAGGGAATCTATTATGGATCTACTGGGCCTCACATTTCTTATCTATTAAATGGACTATAGGGCCAGCCCTGTGGCTTAGTGGTTAAGTTCGCGAGCTCCGCTGCTGGCGGCCCGGGGTTCGGATCCCGGGCGTGCACCGACGCACCGCTTCTCCGGCCATGCTGAGGCTGTGTCCCACATACAGCAACTAGAAGGATGTGCAGCTATGACACACAACTATCTACTGGGGCTTTGGGGAAAAATAAATAAATAAATAAAAATTATAAATGGACTATATATGATGTTACATTAAATTTACATAATATTTCTGTTTTCAAATCACTTTACCATCCATTAACTCACTTGATTCTCACAAACCTATAAAGTGGTCTGATCGGATGATCACCCATCTGAAGGAGAATCTGTTTCTCAGATTAAATGACTTTAGGGCAAAAGTCTTTTACCCCATCTTGCTCCAGAGGGATTATTAAAGTACTATTAGTAATGGTAGTAATATTTCTTTTATAGTACTGTGACGAAGATTAAATGAGTTAACTCATGCTAATATACATTATTATTAACCACATGGGTCTGGTGCTTTACTCACAGATTACTTCATTAAGTTGTCACTACTACCCAGAGAGGTAGACAGTATTATCCTCATCTTAAAGACAAGGCTATTGAGGTTAATAACTTGCTGAAGATCATACAGCTAGAAGATTTCATCACTGAGAAAGCTTTAGTCCAGCTCTTATTCTACGACATTAGCCCTCAGTTTTCTTCTCAAACTAAACATTTTTAATATCAGCAATAAATTTATACAAAGATTTTACCCACATATTTTCAACTCATACTACACTTAGGGATAATAAATCTCCTACATTTAGGGATCACACGGTGAAAGTTTATAGCATTGCTTTTAATTCTTCCTATCTTAAGCTTCATAAGGCAATGCCCGTTCCAAGGTTCCAATATTTATTGAAAAGTTCTGCCATTAGCAACTATTATTTTCTACAATTTAATAATATGATTTAACACCTTTCTTCTTTCTGAACGAATCTCAAGAGTTCAACTTCCATCCTCAACTCCTTCTTGCTTTGTGTCTACCATGTCTTTCTTGAAAGATGAGGAATACTGAACTGAAAAATGTTTTTCAGGAAGGGACACACTATGGTTTTGTTTGAGTCTAGAAAGCTTTGGTTATTTCCTCTTCGTGGTCAGCATTTCATACAAGGCAATACACTGTACCCACGATTTGGGTCCAGTGCCCCAAATGTCCCAAATGTCCGTAAAGACTGCAAGGTCTCTTTCCTAAATTGTAATCAACATCCTGAAAGCAATCTTCTTATAAGTTTAAGTCTAATTATTCCTTTCTAGGTTCATTTCCTTCAACTTGCTCACAGAATATTCATACTGACATGTTTCTACACAGTCAAGGAGCCTCCAAATGTCTTCCAGTTCATCCATACCACTGTCATATCTCAACAACCACAGGAGCACAGTGGCATCTATAGGCTAGGATCCACTACATATTTCCACCTCCAGATCATTTTATAAAGATACTGAGTCACTCTAGTAACAATCCCCAAGAAAGGCTATGTTCATAACTCTCCCAAGAAACATCAATTTATTCCTACACTCTGTCCTGGATTCTTAAAACAACAGCACCTTCACCTTACAAAGATATAATTATTAAAAATAATTTTTAATAGTGTTGGCAGAGGCTTTCTGGGAAAGTCTAAGAAGATTAGAGCCATTAATTAATTTCCCCTTACCCAAGAACACAATTCTTCTTTAAGCACTAATGGGAAAATCACAATTTTCCCCTCAGAAATTACAAAGGATTTTCTAGAATAGAATGGATGCACTAACATGTTTACAATTCTATTTATTATATATAACATACGAATATAACACACACATGCATTCGTGTCTTCACTGGGCCCTTCCCAAATCCTCTCCACGAGCATGCACATTAGTAAGCTCTGAAGAAGCAGATCAAGGGCATTTCTGGTTAATATGGCTTATATGACTACCCACAAAGACACATCTGGCCCCCAGAAGTAGTTTGTTGGGTTTGCACACGTGCTCCAAAATTTTTTGAAGTTAGTTGCTATCATTTAAAAATGAGTACACTTCATATAAATATCCTTATTTTTCAAGAAAAGCTAGAAATCTGATCTTGCAAAACTAGTTTGAATCCCCCAAGTTAGCTAGTTCCAAATAATATTTGCCCCTTAACCAAGGCATATAGTCACAGGATATTACCAGTCCACACCTGGCCTGCCTCCCTCATTTACCTTCACACCTGACTCCTATGGGCATCTAAGTTTGCAATTCTAAGCTTATACTAAGTTTCTAACAGAAAATTGGTCAAATTTAGAGGGAGGGATGAAGGGAGAAACCCTAGGTCTTTAAATATATTAATTAAATCAAACCCAACAGGGATTAAGAGACAGTGTCTGATTACCTGGTTGCATTCACTTAATCCCTTTTTAGGCAATTAACTCTCATCTCTATGCCTAATTATTATATCTTTAAACAGGCAGGTGTGGGGATTTTCCAAAAGCTGAGGGACAAAGCATTCTAAACATTCTAGTACATTTTATGCCAGAAGTTGTCAAATAAAAGCTATTTTACTCAAAAAAAAAAAAAAAAAAAAAAACCCACACACCACCATATGTTATAGCAGCTATAAGCAGCCAACCACAGACTTTATGGCTAGAGAATGAAAAATAAACTATGCCTGAGAATCCAAGTGTAAATCTTTTCTTAATTTACAAACAGGCAGATTACACAAAGGTTTCCCTCACTTGTCCTTAAAGACTAAATCAACCACAAAACAGTATTTATTCTCTTTACCTGGACGTCTGATGGCAGGATCAGGATCAAGAGTTTTCTTTAAATATTCTGTTAGCGTTTGCAAATTTGCATCGCTGAGCTCCATTGCTACAGAACCTAAAACAAACAATGAGGTTGGGGTAATTGGTCACATGGGGACACGGTGATTTACAGAAATGAATCTTTTTATATTGTGGGTCTTCCCCTCTCTGAAAGTCATGCATTTGTTATGTTTTAGGTATGGGCTATAAGCCTGACTCTTAGCTGAGACAAGGTTCCAGAAGATAAGATGGGCTTTTGTGAAATAATGGTGAGATAATTTTGAGATAAAAAACAAAGAACATATAATTCCAAAAAGATAGACATAGAAAAACAAAGTTGACGAAGTGCTCAAAGTGACCATGAAGTTTATCTGATTTAATGCTATGAAAAAAGGCAAACAAAGGGTTAAAAAAATGACTCACTAGGAATTTTTTTTTAAAGCCCCATCATGAGAAATTAAAATTTTAAGTAGCAAGTAAGGATCCCATAAAGAGTTTCGAGATTAAAGAAACCAGAATAAATTTCTTTGTGTACAACATGCAATCACAAGTACTGAAGACAAACTACATGCTGAGAATTCGCACCTAGGGAGATAATTCTGGTGTTCAGAAGATGACAGCTGTGATTATGATTAAAAAGCAACTTTCTACATCAAAAGCAAAGGCAACAAAAGCAAAAATAAATAAGGGGGACTACATCAAACTAAAAAGCTTCTGCACAGCAAAGAAAACCCTCAATAAAATGAAAAGGCAGCCTACCAAATGGGAGAAAATATTTGTAAATCATATCTGATGAGAGGTTAATATGCAAAATATATAAAGAACTCATACAACTTAGGAAAAACCAATCTGATTTAAAAATGGGCAGAAGGGCCGGCCCCGTGGCTTGGTGGTTAAGTGTGCGCGCTCCAATGCTGGTGGCCCGGGTTTGGATCCCGGGCGCACACCGAGGCACCTCTTCTCCGTCCATCCTGAGGCCGCGTCCCACACACAGCAACTAGAGGGATGTGCAGCTATGACATACAACTATCTACTGGGGCTTTGGGGGGAAAAAAAATAAATAAATAAAATCTTTAAAAATGGGCAGAAGATGTGAATAGACATTTTTCCAAAGAAGACAAACAGATGGCCAACAGGTACATGAAAAAGTGCTCAACATCAGTAATTATCAGGGAAATGCAAATCAAAACCACAATGAGATATCACTGCACACCTGTTAGGACGGTTATCATCAAAAAGACAAGAAATAGTGTTGGTGAGGATAGGGAGAAAAGGGAATCCTTGTGCACTGTTGGTGGAAATGTATATTAGCGCAGCCACTATGGAAAACAGTATGAAGGTTCCTCAAAAAATTAAAAATAGAACTACCACATGATCGAGCAATTCCACTTCTGGGTACTTATCCGAAGGAAACGAAAACACTAACTTGAAAAGATATCTATATCCCCATGTTCACTGCATTATTAACAATAGCCAAGACAGAGAAACAACCTCAGCGTCGACGGATGGATGGATGGATGGATGGATGAAGAAAGTGTGGTATACGTATACGATGGAATATTCATCAACCATAAAAAAAGAAGGAAATCCTGCCATTTCTGACAACATGGATGAACCTTGAGGACATTACGCTAAGTGAAATAAGTCAAACAAAGACAAATACCATATGATCTCACTTATAGGTGGAATCCAAAAAAAAACAAAAAACAGAATACATGGATACAGAGAACAGATTGGTGGTTGCCTGAGGTGGGGGGAGGACAAAATGAGTGAAGGTGGTCAAAAGGTACAAAATAAATAAGTCATGGAGATGTAATGTACAGCATGATGACTACATTTAATAGTATAGTGTATATTTGAAAGTTGCTAAAAATCTTAAAAACTCTGGTCACAAGAAAAAAATTTGTAATTGTGGTGATGGATGTTAACTAGACTTGTAGTAATCACTTTGCAATATATACATATATCAAATCATTATATTGTACACCTGAAACTAATAATAATGTTATATGACAATTACACCTCAATAAAAAAGCAGTACGCTCTTTTACATGGGTCTTAGAAGGATCTTTTCGAATAGCATGTCTACTTGGACAAGGGAAAAAAAACAAAAAATAAAAAAGTGAGACTTCATCAGACCAAAGAGCTTCTGCAAGGCAAAGGAAACCAGGATCAAAACGAAAAGACAACCGACCAAGTGGGAGAAGATATTTGCAAATCATATATCCGACAAGGGGTTTATCTCCATAATATACAAAGAACTCACACAACTGAACAACAAAAAAACAAACAAACCAATCAAAAAACGGGCAGAGGATATGAACAGACATTTTTCCAAAGAAGATATACAGATGGCCAATAGGCACATGAAAAGACGTTCAACGTCACTAATCATCAGGGAAATGTAAATCACAACTACACTAAGATATCACCTTACACTGTTTAGAATGGCTATAATCACCAAGACAAAAAAGTAACAAATGTTGGAGAGGTTGTGGAGAAACAGGAACCCTCATACACAGCTGGTGGGAATGCAAACTGGAACAGCCACTATGGAAAACAGTATGGAGATTTCTCAAAAAATTAAAAATAGAAATACCTTATGACCCAGCTATCCCACTACTGGGTATTTATCCAAAGAACTTGAAATCAATAATTCAGAGAGGCTTATGCACCCCTATCTTCATTGCAGCATTATTCACTATAGTCAAGAAGTGGAAGCAACCCAAGTGTCCATCAACTGATGATTAGATAAAGATGATGTGGTGTATACATATACAATGGAATAGTACTTGGCCATAAAAAAAGACAAAACCATCCCATTCGCAACAACATGGACGGACCTTGAGGGTATTATGTTAAGCGAAATAAGCCAGATAGAGAAAGACAAACACCATATGATTTGACTCATACGTGGAAGATAAACTAACACACAGACAAAGAGAACAGTTCAGTGGTTATGAGAGGAAGGGGATTAGGGGGTGGGCACAAGGGGTGAAGGGGTATATTTATATGGTGACTGACAAATAATAATGTACAACTGAAATTTCACAAAGTTATAAATTATTATGACCTCAATAATAAAAAAATGAACTTTATTATTAAAGCTTAAACAAAAATATAAATCACAGAATATGCTATAACTGACCAAAAAAATTCACATCTAATATGTTACAAAATATAAGCTAAATAAATGGCTTATGTAGATATAACTGATACCATAAGGCTAAGAAATACAAAAGAAATAGCACATATATACAGATTACAGCTGTGTGTGCGTGCACACCATTACCAATGGACCAAAAAGCTTACGACTGCTATAAACGGGACTTCATGGTCTCCAAGTTGTTAGTGAGTAGATAAAATTAAGTGCTAAACAAGAGAACTTTTTGGGGTGGAAGTGTCCTAAAAGTGTCCTAAAGTTGGACTGTAGTGATGGATGCACAACTCTATAAAATTTATGAACATTTACCAAACAGTACACTTAAAATGAATGAATTCATGATAAGTTATACCTCACTAAAACTATTTTTAAAAAACCCACTTCTGCTTAGATCCCATTAGCCAGCTTTTAGGCAACCTGGGGGGAAATGTGCCCTTTTCAGGGCAACCATGCACCAAATTAATCTGGGGTTTCTATGACAAACAATAAAAAAATCAAGTATGTAATAATTTTTGTAAAATATAATAAAGCTAAGTGGAAGAAAGGTCAAGTATACCATAATTCAAATTATATAAAAATTCACATACACTCAAAAGTATAGAAAAAACTAAAAATACACTCCAAAATGTAAACAGTGGTCATATCTACATGATAGATACAGAGTTTTATTCTCTTCATATTCTTCTAGATTTTTCTAATATCCTACAACCACCCATATATATTACATTTATAATCAGAAAGTTATTAAAATTTTATTACATTTTTAAAAATGCCTATAAAAAAAACAATCAAGTTCAGGCTCTCAAAGGAGCTTACATACTAGTTGGAAGAAAAGACACAAGTGAAATGCCAACTACAGACCTACAAAATCCCTTTCCTGCAATTCTGAAATCCAAAAATCTATGAACTGAAATTTTTTTTTTTTTTTTTTGTGAGGAAGATCAGCCCTGAGCTAACATCCATGCCAATCCTCCTCTTTGTGCTGAGGAAGACTGGCCCTGGGTTAACATCTGTGCCCATCTTCCTCCACTGTATATGGGACGCTGCCACAGCATGGCCTGACAAGCGGTGCATCGGTGCGCACCAGGGATCCCAACCCGGGCCACCAGCAGCGGAGCGCACACACTTAACCGCTACGCCATAGGGCTGGCCCCTGAAAGTTTTTTTTTAAAAACAAACTTGTGGCAGACTCATGTGGCAGAAAAGCCTGGCCTGAACTGCCTGAGGCTATAAAGATAGTCTTTACTTATCTCGCTTAGTATGTAAATTTGTTTCACTGGACTAATCTGTCTGATGGATGGGTGCTACCCCATGCTCCCTTGGGGATGCTGCATAATCCACAGCAAGTGCAATCAAAAAGAAATTCTAAACTCTGAAAACCCATTTGTCCCCTGGAGCAGAAGTACCAAATGAATCACACAGACAGCAACTTAACTGCTAGGAGGTCCAGAAGAGAGTCACTAGCGTATGTGGTGGCCCAAGATTTTCCAGAGGCTGTGAGCATTGAGCTGAACTGGAAAGATATACAGAATTGGATAGGAAAAGTAGAATGAGGATCCAGCTCATAAAAGAAGTAGTGTGAGCAAAGTAACAGACACAGGAAGAGTGCATAACTCCTTTGGGGAACAGTGGACTTGGAGGCTGAGATCAGATCATACAGGTTCCTCACTTTGCTGAAGAGTTTCATGATTTAATGTACAACAGGAAGCCACTAAAGGTTTTTTGAAATGGGTAAAAACTTAATGAAAGTGGAGTATAGGAACTTTGAGCTGGTAAGAGTTTGCAGAACGGAGTTGATGGAGATAACAAGAGAAGATCTGTTAGGACACTTTTTTTAAATGGGGGAAGGGTCACATCTATAAACCAGGCGTTAAGGCTAGATGTCTTATATGCTTCATATCATTTCACATAAT